GGCCAGTAAAATAGATTTACCAATATTACTATACCACCCCTGATACAGACTTCCTTACATTTTTTACTTTATGTGAACCATTTATTTTGCTGAACAGCCAAAACGTTCCCCTTAGCTTTGATCCAGTGAGTCTTAACACTACAACCCAATGTCAGTGTCGGTGCTGGTGTGTCAGTGTAATCTAAACCTTGCTTTTAAAGTGAGGATCTTAAATCTGTTGAAATTCTCTGCACACGTTGTCCAGGCTCTTTTTAATTGAAGGATTTGGCCTTTATAACACATTTAATTGACAAATGAAACAGCAATGTAATGTAATGAGAGTCAGCAATCGGAGGTTACATTTGTGGGCTTTTGTCGCTCTCTGTGGGTGGGAGACAGCCACTCTGTGTGTGTGTGTGTGTTAGTGATTTAAGGTCTCTGTGGGACACCAAGAGGAGGACTGTGGCAGCGAGGGGTCAGCAGCGACAGACACACACCAGCAGATGTTGGAGGGAGGAGGTGGTGTCCCCACCCCACCCTCCCCAAAAGGGAGGGCACAGAGAGAGGGAGGAGAGAGGGCTGGCGGTGGAAAAAGGTAGGAGGAGAGTAGTGGAGAGGCAGGTGCTGGATTGATGGATGGATGAGTGGAGATAGTGGAGATGTGAAGCACAGGGAGAGGGAGGATAGGGTAGATAAAGGGCTGCACTGAAGAGGAAGAGGGGAGGAAGAAGCCATCAGGCAGCTGTAAAAGAGAAAAGGAGGGACACAAAAAGGCAGACATAAACAAATAATTTACTGTACAAATCAAAATCATTACACAAAGTTCACAATTTTAACGTAAATGCTTTTTTTGTCATCACATTTTTATTTATTTAAATGTTGACATGAATGCTGGACGACTGACTGCGAACACCACGAGCATTCAGCATCTCAGTCTGTGAAAATGTGTCTTTATTGCTTGGATAGAGATAGATAGATAGATAGATAGATAGATAGAAATTCAGATTAAAACCATTGGAAAGGCTTCAACTTCTTACAGTTTCAGAGTTGCTGCACTATTTTTGATACTTTGACTTGTGACCTTCTTCCAGCTTTTTTTCAACAGCAAACAATAATAAATATGTGCAGACGGAATCTTTGCAGCTTTTAACAAGAATTCATGTGTCTAAAGTAATGAAACTTGGCCTTTAATCAAAAGAGAGCGTTGTTTACTGTGCAGAGAGCTAGTGACAGTCATGCTACCCGGTGACTGTGTAATTGAAGAGCTTGAAAGAGAAGGAAAGCTGCATGTGTGCTGTACAAAATGAGACTGTGACTCACTTAAAGAGCTCACCTATAATGAAACAAGACATGGGAAGGTTTTTTTTTTAATGGGGAGAGAGGATGAGAGGAGAAATGAAAGCAGCAGACCGCTGTCTGTCCCTCCTGCTGCCTCCATTTACCTTCATTGATTGTGAATGTGCAGCCAGGCTGAGTTAATGCCTACCTGCTGTACTCAGACGGCAGCATCCGTATCGATGCGTGTGTGTAATAGGGAAAGGAGTGCCTGTGTGTTTCAGTCCGCTTTTATTTTGTGTTCACGCAATATGACAGCTGAATGTTGTTGTTCTTGTCTTCTAAACATGCCCTCTTCAGATATAAAGACATTGTTCCTTTTTAAAGGAACAGTTCACCCCAAAAAGTAATATGTTCCTCTTACCTGTAGTGTGATTTATCAAGTGGCAGTGCTGAAGATATTTGCTGTAGAGATGTCGGCCTTCTCCTGAATATATATGGCATATATATGCAGATTTAACATTACCCCGTTTTGAGAGATAGGTTGTGATTTCTGGTTGCTGTGGATTTTTTCAGATGTGTTTTTTGCAGCTTTGAACAGCAAAAGCAGAGTGCCGCCTATCTATTATATTTTTGAGAGAAAGCAGACAACTCCACGCATAATACCCAACAACAAAAGCAATGTTTATCAATAACTATCGGAAATCCTTTATCCTTCCCGCATCAGGAACATTTACAGCAGCAGAGATACAGTGCAGATTGAAGGCAAAAGGATAAAGAGTAATAATCATAATACGTTTATTTAGTATAGCACCTTTCAAAGTAACAGAATTTCACAAATGAATACAATAACCAGATGAATACAATAACCACATGAGGCACACATTTTTAAGGTCAACATACAAACATAACACAGACCACGTGGAGTCCTGAAAGGAACAAACATAATAACAGAACACACCACACACATTTCAAATAGAAATAAAAGCCAATGTAGACTTAATTATTAAATAAGAAGGCAATGTTAATAATACAAATATAAATAAATAAACAGAAAAAGTGCAACATAGAGGAGCAGTATTTCTTTTCTTTAATGTAAGAGAAGTTAAGAGGAAAAACATATTTTTATTTGACAGACTATTTCTTGGTTTGGTGACTTAAAGTCTCCAGAATTCACTTCATTTGGCCAAAAAACATTGTCCAGCACATGAGAAGCAAGTAAAAACCCAAAAGGTTTTCATCCATTATCTGCTTTATTCAAGTCAATTCGCATATTTCCCTAAATATCTAATTGTCACCAATAATTCAGGTACTCACAAATACAGGACACATTAAATGAAACACCAGCTGATCGCCTGATTATAAAATCCGCCCATGTGTCCTTCATCATCCCTCTTCTTCTATTACTTCGTCCAGACTGGCATCGCCCTCTCTCTCTCTCTCTCTCTCTCTCTCTCTCTGCCTTCTGTGCCCAGTAACCTTACCATCTACTGTTTCTCTTTTACTCCCCTTTTCCTCCCTATAACTGCCCTCACCCTTCACCCTTGCAGCACACTTCAGACCCCTGCTCCTCCCACTTCCTTTCATCTGTACTCCTCTTCTCCTTTTCCATCCATCCGTCCCTCCATCCACCCCCCCCTTCTCCGTCGACCCCTCTCCCCTGGGTCTTGTGGGCAGTCGGATGGCTTTGTGTTTGAAACGTGTGTTGGCAGGAGGCAGCATGCACACAGACATACACATTACACACACACACACCCACAAATGCACTAGCACACACACTACCAGCTTCTGTTGTCAATAAGCTGCTCAGCTGCGAGCCCCCTAGCCCTAATTGTGTGTGTGTGGGGTGAGGACAAGGCACCCATTGTCCTGCAGATTAACTCTTTCTCACACACACACACACACACACACACACACACACACACACACACACACACACACACACACACACACACACACACACACACACACACACACTCACACGCTCTCACACACACGCACACACACACACACCCTAACACTCACACCCTCTCACACACGTAGCCTGAGTGTGTTGGTTTCTAACAGCAGAGT